GATTTAAAAGATTCACTCTGTCGTCGCTCGTGAACTTCGTCTCAGCCGCAGAGGATTTGATAAATTCGAATTTACTAGTTTTGATAAATCATATTTAATGTAAAATCATGTTGTATGTTTTGTAAAACATACATTACACATATTTGTTAAAAAAATAAAATATGAATGACTAATGAGTGCTTTATGAATGTATTAATATACTTTGCATATAGTGAATGCTTTCTAATTGATTGGCATGCACAACCCTTAATAAACTATACTATGTAATAATCATTGTTAAGCTATTCAAATATTTTTAAATTTATCTTCTTATACTATTTATAATTATTATGACATAATACCCAAATTACCACTTTTCATCCCTCATATTTTGAAAGTAGTTTTGGATATTATGTATGTTGTCCATATTTGAAAAAGAATATATATTACAATTTTATTATTAGGTCGCACTCTAAAATATCAATTTGTAAAATGTTAATTCTCATCACTAAAAGTTATAATAACTAAAAAGTTAAAGTCAAATATAAATGTGTAAAGTAAATTTAAATTTTTTTCACAAATATACCTAAAGCTTATAAAATTAAGCTCTACATTGTTGAAATTATCCTGTCTAATTTGAAAAAAAAATTTGCACGAATATCCCCAAATTTCAACCATTTTTGTTTGGAGCAAATTTTTAATTTTTTTCTTTACTAGTCATCTCCTTGTGAATAACATGTAGATTATGACAAAATTCTGATCCCATACATTTATTTTAGTTCATTATATTTTATAGGTTTTTTTATCACATAAAATTTTAGATATTTCCTGATAAAATGAATACACACACTGAAATACGATTATATATTAACATGACTTTTTCAGGGCCGCAACAAAAAGGGTCAACAGGCCTTACAGGTTTTGAAGGCTCATATCCGAAGATCAAGTCATTCTTGAGTTAAGCACACCTACCGAAGTGGTCGAGCTAAGCTCATATGTCGAGGTGGTCAAACAAGCCCGGGGCAAACCAACCACTCTAAGAAAAAGGTCTTCATTTTAGAGTACATACATCAATCCTTATTATGAGGCCGACTGACATCCATATCACGATTATTTATCTCATATATAAAATAGAACTCAGAGGGGCTCATAAGTTTTCTTCCTCCGTGACATGGAAAAAGAGCTTTTAGTCACTCTCTCTCTAGAGAAACGGACTATTTCCCCCTCTCCCCCATTTCATGAGAAAATATAGAGTGAGAAACACTAACTCTAGCAATATATCCATGATCTTGCCGGATTATACGAACTCACGAGCAATAGGGGCATGGAACAAATTCATGAAAGTTAATATTCAAATTTATTAATCTACTTATTGGAATCCAAAAATTTTATTTAAATTAATTTGATTACTTTAAATAATTGAAGAAGGCATCCCTACGTTATTGCAAATCCAATTCACAAGGAAAGTTGATGATGACATGCCTTCCCGGCAATTTTTTGCCCCCGTCGTTCACCTTCCATTCACATCATATACCAAAAAAAGGATAGAATATAAAGTACTAATTAATTTTTTTTAATCTAATTAAAATATATAATTTACACATTTTTAATTTTTAATTTACAACATATATTGTGAATTGGCATACATGCCAAGTTTTATGCATTTATACGTTCCCGAACTTTTAAGTTTTATATTTATATCACTCGAATCTTTCCTATCACTTCAAAAATATCAATTTTTTAACTTTAAAAAAATGTTAAAAAAATTGTAATATGCCATTTCATACCTCAGGAAGGAGGAATTTATGTAAAAATTGAAGTTTAATAACCCGTTTGGGGCAGCTTATTTGGTGGGGTGACGTTTTGAAAACGCATCTGCCCTGTTTATTTAATAACCCGTTTGGGGCAGCTTATTTGGTGGGGAGACGTTTTGAAAACGCACCTGCCCTGTTTGGATAAACTATGTTTTGACAATTGACAGCTTATGCATTTTCAAAATACAGAAAATAACATTTTCACACCGCACTTATCTAGGACACCGCACCTATCTAGATACGGTGAGAGCTTATTGACAACGGTCTGACTTTTCCACAAAAAAAAATAAAAATTTGTAATAGCCACGCACCTAACTTGTCAGCGGATTATTCAATAAGCTACAGCTGCTCCAAACAACCCTAAGTGTTAAAGATGTAAATCCATAAAAGTTGAGTGATACTTATGTAAATCCATAAATTGTGGGGTATATATGTAAATTTTTATTTATTTGAATAATTGTTATATAAAAACCTCTCTTTAATTTTATATATTTATACGTTAATACACACTTCCTTTCTTAAAACAGGACTCCAATGGTGAGGAGTTGCTACCCCCTCCTCTTCGTCGTCCTCCTCCTCGCCGGGAAGTTCGCGCAAGCGACGAACGCCGGAAGTTCGCCGGAATCATGCAACGCATGGCTGGTGCAGTCCATCCCCACCGACATGCCGCTACTCACCCGCGTACCCGGCGTGCTCTCCTCGGGTATCTTTTCTTTCCATTGCGCGACCAAAGAGGTTTTCGAGATTTGACTTCATCGTTTAGGGTTTTTCTTGATCGGCGGCAGGGGATGTGTTTAGATGGATGGCGGGAAACGCGACCAGGCGGCTGGACGTGATTGCGCAGTACTGGCAGCTTTTAGCACAGTCCGGGAATCCCAAATCTGGGGACTACGGGTATTCTAATGGCGATTTGGAGAGGTTCGGTGCGGGAGAAGGACGTGCTGTTTACAGGGCCTTGGAGGAGGCTGCGGAGAGGAGGGTTGATATAAGGTATTCGTATTTGCCTCTTGATTTCTGATTCATTCGATTGCCTTCCAGCTGTTTGATTATATTACTGCGTGTTGGAGGCTGTTTGTTATAAGGAAGATCTAAGCCAATTAGGGCTATTGAAATTTTGCATTATTTAACCGGATTGGATGCTGTTCTAGGTTTCTGCAGCATTCTGGAGTTTATCCGGATTACACTGAGGAGCCATCTAATCTTGCTGCAGGAAAACCAAATGTGCAGAATGTGACCTTACTTCTCAGTGATTGGTGGGGTTCTGGAATTGTGCATGCAAAAGTTTGGATTTCTGATTCTAAAGACATTTACATTGGATCAGCTAACAATGACTGGAAATCTCTGACTCAAGTATTTTCTCGCATATGCAGAACTTGTTCTTTTATCTCAGTTGATTGTTTATTGTTGGGGAAGTTACATGCAAACCATCCAATTCCTATGCATTTATAGTCCTTACACCTAATCTTTGATTTTTTACATTTATACCACTCAAATCTTTCGTACCACCGTTTTAATTTTCAAAATGTGAAATATAGCTTTTCATGCATAGGTGCGGCGGCAAGTATGTCATGATTGAAGTTTCGGTGTTAGATATGTAAATATATAGGAATTAAATTGTGTGTTTGTAAATGTTCCTTATTATTATTTTCTTACTTAATTCACACTGGAATGTTGCACCAGTCATGGCAATGATTGTTTAAAACTTTAGTGAGATTTATTGTAGATAACAATTAGGTTGATTTACATGCATTCAGTCTAATTGTTGGATTTCAGAGTGTCTTTTGTGAACGCATCTTGAGAGTTAGAGTGGAGTGAAGGAGAGAATAAAACAAACCAAGAGTTACAGTGGAGAAAACCGGTGGAGTCCGAATGGCCCGCCACTATTTGATCGTCTTTTTTTCTCTTATTTATAAGAATGTATTTTGTACAATTACAGAAAGGAGTGAATATATGTGGAAACGGTTCTTAATGTAATTAATGGTCTAATTAATTGTATGGATTTCCTTTCATATCTGTATTATAATTCAAATTTTGATATGACAATCAATTGTAAGGCTATCAATTGAGTGGCGACCGTGTCTTGTGTCTGTTCAATCGAGGCGTTTGGTCAAATGACAATCTCGTCCGCTACGATACAGACAGGTCGGTCGTCCAATTGTGATTAGGGGGTTTCTACTTTTGCTTCAATCGGTCGATCAACTGATAAGTCGATTTATTTTGTCGGGTGAACCGTGATTGACTTATCTCTTTGAATCAAGTCTTACGGGCCCACGTCTCGTTCACCTGGTCGGTTCTTCGCCTCAGTCGGATACCCCTATTAGCAAGGTCTTAGACGGATCTTGT